GTAAAGCAGGCTCTGGTGCACACTCATGTTTCTGAGCATTCAATAACTTGCATGTGTGTACTCACATGTGTGCATGCTATTTAGGTACTCAGGCGTCCAACCATGTCTATGTGTCTGCACATGCTCGTGTGTGCTCCTGGGGGCGCAAACCCGTGTATGTGTCCATGCGTGCACTCACAAGCATGTGTGTGTTGTCATGTGTGCATGTCATGGGGTTGTCCTCACATGCACCAGCGTGCGCGTCAGGTGTCCCTGGGGGTGTCACAGGATGGCTGGCTCCTGCATCTCTACATCGCTGGGACATGACTCGGGCTAGCAGAGGAAGTGATGACTCAGTCCCGGATTCCTGCGTCCCCCTACCTGCCACCCAGCCCCTCTCTGCGCATCAGCCCCTCACGAGCATAAGCATTACTCAGCCACATGGAGGCTGCTGGCCCTGAGCTCAGCTGAGTACATCCGGCCACGACCTGCTGCGGCATCTGCCAGGCGAGAACACTGCCAGGATAGGCCCGGACCCCTTCCTGTATTGGGGCAGGAGCCCCGGGGCCTGGGGTTAGCGCTGGGGGTGCGTGGGTATGTCCCCATTCGCAACTGCAGGCATAGGGAGGGTGCCATCCCCCCTCCCCTGTGCCTGCCACGCACCTACAGAGCTGGCCCAGCCGAGTTGGGGCACAGCACAGGGTGGGATGGGTCAGAAACCAGACTGGACGGTCGGGAGCTGCGGGTCGTTATCAGTGTCAGCTCGCTCCCATGCCACGCTGCCTTTCGCCTGGCTGCTGAGTCAGGAGCACGTGAGTCTCCGAGCCCCTCGTCACGCTGGGTACTTCTGGTGGCACAGTGCTCACACAATGACTCACCACAGCCAGGGCTCCGGGTTCATGCTCTCTCGCTGTAGGTTGTGTGTTTGGGGCGGACCCAGAGTGCGTTTGTTTCCTGGAAACTCGCTAAGCCATGGGAACTCTGCCGCTGTCAGAGGGGCAGGGCACTGTGCCCTCTGCCCAAGCCCCAGGCACCCTGGCTGCCCGCTGCAGGGTTCTCACATTCTGATCCAGATCCAGACAAAGGGCAATTCCAGAATCAGGAGACAGCCCCTGCCACGTTGCACTGAACCAGATTACAGAGTAACAGCCGTGTTAGTCTGTCTTCGCAAAAAGAAAAGGAGTACTTGTGGCACCTTAGAGACTAACCAATTTATTTGAGCATGAGCTTTCGTGAGCTACAGCTCACTTCATCGGATGCATACCGTGGAAACTGCAGAAGACATTATATACACACAGATACCATGAAACAATACCTCCTCCCACCCCACTGTCCTGCTGGTAATAGCTTATCTAAAGTGATCATCAGGTTGGGCCACTTCCAGCACAAATCCAGGTTTTCTCACCCTCCGCCCCCCCCCCCAAACTCACTCTCCTGCTGGTAATAGGAAAGGAGTACTTGTGGCACCTTAGAGACTAACCAATTTATTTGAGCATGAGCTTTCGTGAGCTACAGCTCACTTCATGCTCATGCTCAAATAAATTGGTTAGTCTCTAAGGTGCCACAAGTACTCCTTTTCTTTTAGCAAAGACAGACTAACACGGCTGTTACTCTGAAACCTGCTGGTAATAGCCCATCCAAAGTGACCACTCTCTTCACAATGTGTATGATAATCAAGGTGGACCATTTCCTGCACAAATCCAGGTTCTCTCACCCCCTCACCTGGATTTGTGCAGGAAATGGCCCACCTTGATTATCATACACATTGTGAAGAGAGTGGTCACTTTGGATGGGCTATTACCAGCAGGAGAGTGAGTTTGTGTGTGTGTGGGGGGGGGGGGGCGGAGGGTGAGAAAACCTGGATTTGTGCTGGAAATGGCCCAACTTGATGATCACTTTAGATAAGCTATTACCAGCAGGACAGTGGGGGGGGAGGAGGTATTGTTTCATATTCTCTGTGTGTATATAAAGTCTGCTGCAGTTTCCACGGTATGCATCCGATGAAGTGAGCTGTAGCTCACGAAAGCTCATGCTCAAATAAATTGGTTAGTCTCTAAGGTGCCACAAGTACTCCTGAACCAGATTAAATATTTATATTAGGGTAGCACCAACCCGGCTCAGGCCCCATTGTGCTGGGGGTTGTGCATGCATGTTCACACACACACACACACACACACACACACAGTCCCAACCCCAAACGGTGCAGAATCTAAGCAGTGTTATGGGTGGAAAATTTATTTCATTAGCACTCAGGACACCTGGGTCCTCTGGCCCAGCTCTGAAACATTCTATGAATATCCCCCCTACCCGGCCCCCCCACCCATACCTCAGTGTCCCCATCTGTCTGATGGAGGGTAATGCATGAAACAACCCTTTGGGGCCTACCCATGCAATGGCTATTAGTACCATCAGGGCCCCCAAAAGGTGAGCATCCGTTTGGCAGGTTAATCCTTTCACCGCCTGTTGACTATGGGTATGTATACACTACAAAATTAGGTTGAATTTATAGAAGTCGGTTTTATACAGTCGATTGTGTGTCCCCACACAAATGCTCTAAGTGCATGTAGTCGGCGGAGTGTGTCCACAGTACCGAGGCAACCGTCGACTTCCGGAGCGTTGCACTGTGGGTAGCTATCCCACAGTTCCCACAGTCTCCGCTGCCCATTTGAATTCTGGGTAGAAATCCCAGTGCTTGATGGGGCTAAAACATTGTCGCGGGTGGTTCTGGGTACATATCGTCAGACCCCCGTTCCCTCCCTCCCTCTGTGAAAACAAGGGCAGACAATCGTTTTGGGCCTTTTTTCCTGAGTTACCTGTGCAGACGCCATACCACGGCAAGCATGGAGCACACTCAGCTCACCGTCACCGTACATCTCCTGGGTGCTGGCAGACACGGGACTGCATTGCTACACAGCAGCAGCAATCCATTGCCTTGTGGCAGCAGACAGTACAATAGGCCTGAAAACCATCCTCATCATGTCCCAGGTGCTCCTGGCCGCCTCGGTAAGGTCGGTCAGGAGTGCCTGGGCTGATATGGGTGCAGGGACTAGGAGTGACTCGACCAGGTCATTCTCTTTAGTCCTGCAGGCAGTCCTATTGTACCATCTTCTGCCGGGATGGCAGGAGATGTGGATGGCTAGCAGTCCTATTGCACCATCTTCTGCTGAGCAGCCAGGAGATGTGGATGGCTTGCAGTCCTTCTGCACCGTCTGCTGCCAGCCAAAGATGTAAAAGATAGGTGGAGTGGATCAAAACAAGAAATAGACCAGATTTGTTTTGTATTCATTTGCTTCCCCCCTCCCTCCATGAAGTCCTGCCTGAAATACAAGAGGGAGGGATAGCTTAGTGGGTTGAGCATTGGCCTGCTAAACCCAGGGGTTTGAGTTCAATCCTTGAGGGGGCTATTCTGTGTGACAGTTGTTTTTGTTTCTCCTTGATGTAAAGTCACCCCCTTTGTTGATTTTAATTCCCTGTAAGCCAACCCCGTAAGCCATGTCATCAGTCGCCCCTCCCTCCATCAGAGCAACGGCAGAAAAATCGTTCCGCGCCTTTTTTCTGTGCAGACGCCATACCATGGCAAGCATGGAGCCCGCTCAGATCACTTTGGCAATTAGGAGCACATTAAACATCACACACATTATCCAGCAGTATATGCAGCACCAGAACCTGGCAAAGTGAAACCGGGCGAGTAGGCGACGTCAGCGCAGTGACGAGAGTGATGAGGACATAGACACAGACTTCTCTCAAAGCATGGGCCCTGGCAATGCAGGCATCATGGTGCTAATGGGGCAGGTTCATGCTGTGGAACGCCGATTCTGGGCCCGGGAAACAAGCACAGACTGGTGGGACCGCATAGTGTTGCAGGTCTGGGACGATTCCCAGTGGCTGCAAAACTTTCACATGCGTAAGGGCACTTTCATGGAACTTTGTGACTTGCTTTCCCCTGCCCTGAAGCGCCTGAATACCAAGATAAGAGCAGCCCTCACAGTTGAGAAGCGACTCACAATAGCCCTGTGGAAGCTTGCAATGCCAGATAGCTACCGGTCAGTTGGGAATCAATTTGGAGTCGGCAAATCTACTGTGGGGGCTGTTGGGATGCAAGTAGCCAACGCAATCAAAGATCTGCTGATATCAAGGGTAGTGACCCTGGGAAATGTGCAGGTCATAGTGGATGGCTTTGCTGCAATGGGATTCCCTAACTGTGGTGGGGCCAAAGACGGAACCCATATCCCTATCTTGGCACCGGAGCACCAAGCCAGCGAGTACATAAACCGCAAGGGGTACTTTTCAATAGTGCTGCAAGCACTGGTGGATCACAAGGGACGTTTCACCAACATCAACGTGGGATGGCCGGGAAAGGTACATGACGCTCGCATCTTCAGGAACTCTGGTCTGTTTCAAAAGCTGCAGGAAGGGACTTTATTCCCAGACCAGAAAATAACTGTTGGGGATGTTGAAATGCCTATATGTATCCTTGGGGACCCAGCCTACCCCTTAATGCCATGGCTCATGAAGCCGTACACAGGCAGCCTGGACAGTAGTCAGGAGCTGTTCAACTACAGGCTGAGCAAGTGCAGAATGCTGGTAGAATGTGCATTTGGACGTTTAAAAGCGCGCTGGCGCAGTTTACTAACTCGGTTAGACCTCAGCAAAACCAATATTCCCACTGTTATTACTGCTTGCTCTGTGCTCCATAATATCTGTGAGAGTAAGGGGGAGACGTTTATGGCGGGGTGGGAGGTTGAGGCAAATCGCCTGGCTGCTGGTTACGCACAGCCAGACACCAGGGCAGTTAGAAGAGCACAGGAGGGCGTGGTGCGCATCAGAGAAGCTTTGAAAACCAGTTTCATGACTGCCAGGCTACGGTGTGAAAGTTCTGTTTGTTTCTCCTTGATGAAACCCTCCGCCCCTTGGGTTCACTCTACTTCCCTATAAGCTAACCACCCTCCCCTCCTCCCTTCAGTCACCGCGTGCAGAGGAATAAAGTAATTGTTGCTTCACATTCATGCATTCTTTATTAATTCATCACACAAATAGGGGGATAACTGCCAAGGTAGCCCAGGAGGAGTGGTAGAGGAGAGAAGCACTGGGAGGAGTGGTGGAGGAGGGAATGACAAGGCCACACAGCACTTTAAAAGTTTAAAACTTTAGAACTTATTGAATGCCAGCCTTCTGTTGCTTGGGCAATCCTCTGGGGTGGAGTGGCTGGGAGGCCGGAGGCCCCCCAACCATGTTCTTGGGCATCTGGGCGAGGAGGCTATGGAACTTGGGGAGAAGGGTGGTTGGTTACACAGGGGCTGTAGTGGCAGTCTGTGCTCCTGCTGCCTTTCCTGCAGCTCAACCATATGCTGGAGCATATTAGTTTGATCCTCCAGCAGCCTCAGCATTGAATCCTGCCTCCTCTCATCACACTGCTGCCACCTTTCAGCTTCAGCCCTCTCTTCAGCCTGCCGCCACTTACTCTCCTCAGCCTGCCACCTCTCCTCCCAGTCATTTTGTGCTTTCCTGCACTCTAACATTGTCTGCCTCCATGCATTCGTCTGTGCTATGTCAGTGTGGGAGGACAGCATGAGCTCAGAGAACATTTCATCACAAGTGCGTTTTTTTCGCCTTCTAATCTTCACTAGCCTCTGGGAAGGAGAAGATCCTGTGATCCTTGAAACACATGCAGCTGGTGGAGAAAAAAAAAGGGACAGTGGTATTTAAAAAGACACATTTTATAAAACAGTGGCTACACTCTTTCACGGTAAACCTTGCTGTTAACATTACATACATAGCACATGTGCTTTCGTTCCAAGGTCACATTTTGCCTTCCCCCACCACATGGCTAGCCCCTCCCCCTTCCCCCCTCTCCATGGCTAACAGCAGGGAACATTTCTGTTCAGCCACAGGCAAACAGCCCAGCAGGAACGGGCACCTCTGAATGTCCCCTTAAGAAAAGCACCCTATTTCAACCAGGTGACCATGAATGATATCACTCTCCTGAGGATAACACAGAGAGATAAAGAATGGATGTCGTTTGAATGACAGCAAACATACGCTGCAATGCTTTGTTCTACAATGATTCCCGAGTACGTGCTACTGGCCTGGTGTGGTAAAGTGTCCTACCATGGTGGACGGAATAAGGCTGCCCTCCCCAGAAACCTTTTGCAAAGGCTTTGGGAGTACATCCAGGAGAGCCGCAAATGCCAAGCAAATTAATCATTAAACATGCTTGCTTTTAAACCATGTATAGTATTTTAAAAGGTACACTCACCAGAGGTCCCTTCTCCACCTGGCAGGTCCCGGAGGCAGCCTTGGGTGGGTTCAGGGGGTACTGGCTCCAGGTCCAGGGTGAGAAACAGTTCCTGGCTGTCGGGAAAACCAGTTTATCTGCTTGCTTGCTTGCTGTGAGCTATCTACAACTTCATCATCATCATCTTCCTTGTCCCCAAAACCTGATTCCTTGTTGCCTCCATCTCCATTGAAGGAGTCAAACAACACGGCTGGGGTAGTGGTGGCTGAACTCCCTAAAATGGCATGCAGCTCATCATAGAAGCAGCATGTTTGGGGCTCTGAATTTTCTGGTGGGCTTGCCTCAGCTCCTTAAGTTTCACGCGGCACTTCTTTGGGTCCCTGTTAAGGCCTCTGTCCTTCATGCCCTGGGAGATTTTGACAAAGGTTTTGGCATTTTGAAAACTGGAACCGAGTTCTGATAGCACGGATTCCTCTCCCCATACAGCGATCAGATCCCGTACCTCCTGTTCGGTCCATGCTGGAGCTCTTTTGCAATTCTGGGACTCCATCATGGTCACCTCTGCTGCTGAGCTCTGCATGGTCACCTCTGCTGATGAGCTCTGCACTCACCTGCAGCTTGCCACACTGGCCAAACAGGAAATTGAAATTCAAAAGTTTGCGGGCCTTTTCCTGTCTACCTGGCCAGTGCGTCAGAGTTGAGAGTGCTGTCCAGAGCAGTCACAATGGAGCACTCTGGGATAGCTCCCAGAGGCCAGTACCGTCTAATTGCGTCCACAATACCCCAGATTCGACCCAGCAAGGCTGATTTCAGCGCTAATCCCCTTCTTGGGGGTGGAGTAAGGAAATCAATTTTAAGAGCCCTTTAAGTCGAAAAAAAGGGCTTCGTCGTGTGGATGGGTGCAGGGTTAAATCGATTTAACGCTGCTAAATTCGACCTCAACTCCTAGTGTAGACCAGGGCTATGACTATGCTCCCACAGTGCTTTCCAGGGGTTTGTCTGCTTAAACGCCTGAGGCAGGAGGATCCCAGGTGCTGAGGGGGTGTCTCCGAAGGCATGTTGTAGCCTGCGTCTCTCGGCGCACTTTGCAAAGAAGAAATGCCTCCATCCTCCCCAGGAAGGGATAGACACAAGAATCATTCGCCCTGCCGCGGGAATGCAGCCAGCTCGGAGCTGGGATGCAGCAGCTGTTTATACAGAAACCACTCCACCTGCCCCTGGAATGCAGCCACCTCTGGGGTGGGAGGCAGCAGCTGTTTAACAACCCCCGCCCCCCCTCCCCGCCCCAGCAATGCCATGCAATGGTTTTAGGAAAGTAGTCAAGAAAAACACTGCACCCAGTTGAAACTACAAGGGGAATGTTAGCAAGTGCAAGGGGGATTTTAGGCAAAGGCAGGTACCAGGGTTGGAATCTGCTCAGTGCACGGCCCCCCAAGAAAGCACCAAGGGGTCATGGGAGACTGGAACAAGCGTTCGCTGTCACACCTTACCTAGAAGGGGCCACCTCCCCCAGCGCTGTGTCTCCGAGCCCTGTGCTGGGATGCTGACTCAGAGCGAGAAGGACACCTGCTGAAGGCCCCAGCATCGCTCCCTGCAGCAAGAGGTGGTCTCTCCCCATCCCAACGCGGAGCAGGTCCGCACCTGCTTGTCTTGAATCAGCCAGGTGCACACGCCCGAATGACGCACGCAAAGGGCAGCAGCGGTTCAGCAAACAGCCAGCTCTCGCCCAGCAGCTCCGACTTCCCCGAACTCAGCCCTGCCACCGCAGCCGGCCAGCAGCTGCTCCACGCAGCTCCCAGAGGTGTTGCTGATGTTTTGAAGAACTGGAGGCTATGCTGACTCAGAGCACGGTGGCCACCGTTCCCAGGCCCTGCTTGCTAGAGTCACTTTCACAATGACTGGGGCAGTCGCGGCAGCCCTCCTCCTGCCGCTGCTCTCTGCTGTCCTTGCTCTTTCTGCTTGTGTGACCCAGCGCTCGTCCGGGCACCATCCCCTCCCGCTGGCTCCTGGCATGGCTCCCTGATGGTGCTGGCTGCGCAGTCCCCAGCTTCACCTTGGGACCGGGGGAAGGAAACACCGGCCTGCGGTCGGTCCGGTCTGATTTGCCTCCCAGTTGCCCCAAGCTGAGAGCAGGGCCCCCTTGTGCCAAGGCTGCCGAGACACGGTGGGAGGCAATCTCTGCCCCTGGGAGCTCACAGGCTAAACGGACAAGACAAAAGAAGCGTTGTGATCTCCGGTTGACAGCAGGGGGGCCAAGGAAAGGAAAGCGTCAGTGACCGGCCCAAGGTTGCACAGTCAGGCTGTGGCAGGGCTGGGGCTCTCCTGAGTCCCAGCTCAGTGCCTTTTCCATGCCGCCTATCTTTCCTGTGTGAGTGAGCCAGGCTCCTGCGCCTTGCTTGTCACCATAACGGCTGAGGTTAAGTCTACACTGCATACTACGCCCGGGCTCTGACTCAGGTGTGAGGCCAAGCCCTCTCTCATCCAGACACAAATCCGTCTGATTCGGGTCAGCAAGCCTGCTGGGGCAGCGGGAGGGGTGGATCAGAGCCTGAGTCCCACAGAGAGTCAGGTCCAAGTCCTGTTGGTTTGCAGCACGGATGCAGCTCAAGCCGTGGACCCATGTCAGAAGGGCTGTGCAGTGCAGTGTGGATGCATGAGCACAGCTCTGAGACCCGGGTCCAGCCTCTGTAAGCCCAGGTTTACTATGAAGTGTGGACTTCCCCTGAGGGCTTCAAGTTCCCCCCGCCAGGTCTCCAACCCTGCAGGCTGACAGCTCCCATCCCCTGGACATTAAAACCCGCATGATCGGTTTGCCGAAGCCAAGGGCAGCATGGCCCAGCGGGTTGGTGACTATTCCCAGCTCTGCCACCGACTCCCTGTGAGCACGGGCCAGTCTTGTCCTGTTTGTCTGTCTTCTCTTTCTGGGACGCTCTGCGTGTCCATGCAGCACCCGGCCTAACGGGCCCTGATCCAGCGTGGGCCCTGCGGGGAGCTACTGAAATGCAGGGGATCAGCAGGTTACATGGGCACCACTCCCATGGACGGCTGCTGCCGCATGGCCCTGCCATGCTCTGCCAGCTGCTCCAGCCCCGAGCCTGAGGCCCACTACCCGGCTGGCACAGACGCAGGTTAGATTTGGTGCTCTCCAGGCCTGTCCCAGCCCCTGGAGCTGCCCCCAGGAGTGGGGTGAAGCACGTGCCGGCGGGCGCAGGGGATGGGAGGATGGTTTCAGCCCAAAGGAACAAGGGACTGACCGTGCCCCACCTCCCTGATCCCTCGCTGGCACCCCTGGGCACTGCCGTGATAACGAAAGGACTTGCAAGCTGCTCCCCTTCCTTTGGAGGAGACGATGAAGCCCCTGGAGTTACGGACCCTGGGACACCTCTCAGCGGGGTGACCCCCCTCCCTGGCTATCCCAGGGCTAGGCTCCCTGCACACCCAGAGCTCTATCTGACCTGCAGGCCCCTCACTATTCCATGCATGGGAGCCTCCCGTCTCTGAGTGATGCTGCCCCTTGGTCCCAACCTCCCCCCCCACACCCCTATTCTCCTGCAAAGGTGACGCTGAGCAGCTGTTCCCTGGCTGGGATAACAGGCTGCGGGGAGAGGGGAGCGTTAATGACAAGCTGCCATGAGCAGCAGGGGCTGGTTTGAGACCTGCAGTGACAGGCAGGGTGAGTCACTGCACAGACAGGTGGGGGTGGGGGGGGGGAGATCCAGGAATGAGTCATCTGTAAAATAAACAAACATTTGATCTCATCGGAAGCTCCATCTCCTGCCCCCCCTTTCAGGGGAACTGACGCGCTAGCCGGAGAGGAGTGAATGCTCTGCACAAAGGGGTGAGCCTGGAAACACAACTTTGTGCATAAAGAGATGTATTCACATGCATGTGTACATGGAGACGCACATGCATGAACACGTGTACAGAGACATGCATGCACACGCAGAGGTGGACACAGACATACATTAGTCCTATAATATAACAATCATCACGTTTATTACAGCAGGGCTAAGGACCAACCCAGAACAGGGCCCTGCCGCGCTAGGAGCTGGACAAACACAAAATAGCAGAAAGTCTCCACCCCAAAGCATTTCCAGCCTAGCGAACCATGTAATGGCAGCAAATGGCACCTTGGTGCCTCAGTATTTGGGAGGGGATGGGGAGGGGGGCAGGAGGAAGAAAGCCAGGGTGGAGTGATGCCGAGGTGAAGTGACTGAGGGACGGGGAGGGAGAGGGTTGGAGCACAGAGACCACCATGCAGGGCAGAGGAACTCCAGGCAAAACTGCCGAGAGTTCTTTGCATGGCCAGGGGTCTCAGGTTTGGCGGCTTCTGTTCCCCCCAGTTCTAGAGGAGAAGGGGCAGAGGTCCTAGTTTTCAGAGTGACAGGCTCTGCCTTACACAGGTCTGCTGTGTCTGTGGGACTGCTGGGACGAGGGGTGGCCTAGCTGGACCCCATTGTCCCCCATCCTCCCGACTGCAGCACTCCCTGGTTTGGCTCTTTCTGCAGCTGCTCCTAGCAGCTGGAGTCACTGGCTGGGAACGGTACACATACATTGAGACATGTGCATCCCAGTGCCGGTGTGCATGGAGACACGTGCAAACATCCGTGCATGCACACACATGAACAGAGGCACACGTGTGAGACACACAAGCACTCAGGCATGCATGTCACCCACCTGTACACAGAAACACGCACCTAGCCGCAGACACCCACAATCCCAGAGACCCGGCAGGGCCCCACCTAGGCCGCTGTCAGAGCCCCCGAGTGCGTGCTAATCTACTGAGCTGCTGGCTTCATATCATTGCCAGACAGGGTCCCCCAAAGGAACAGACATGTTCTCCCACAATGCACTGCAGAAGCACCCCTACAGTGGCGGCCGCTGGGGGGATGTGTCCCCAGCAGTCTTCGTGCCACCCACGAGCGAGTAGAGCGCCAGGGTGTTGCAGCACCCCACCCAGCACCCATTCCCCCCCCTGCAGTGTGACCGCTGCTCCTCGCAGAGGCAAGAGGGTGGGTCCCTCCAGCCCATCCAGCACAGATGCACCTTTACTGGCCATGACCCCAACCTGGCTGGGCACTGCTGGCATCTGACTCTCTGGCTGGCTTTGCCTTGCTGCCCCTCCGCACCTTCCCGCTGTGACAGATGGAGCCACAAAGTGCCTGCTGTGATTCCCGTCTCGGCGCTTGGCTAGCTCCTGCCCGGCCGTCTGCACTGGTTGGACCCTGCAGCCCACATCCCAAGGCCCTGCACCTCCCTAGACACTGATCAAACGGAAAACACTGCCCCCCCGGGGGAAGCCCTACTTCAGAGGGTTCAGTGGCAGCTGCGTGGACTTGCAAACACATTTCCTTGCTACATCCCCGGAGCCCCTGCACCCTCGCCCCACTGGGCAGGTACCGGGCCATCACGTCACGCACCTGGGCAGTTTGCCATGCACACAACTGGCCAGCCCCGCAGGGAGGAAATGCACCACGGGTGCGGCAACACGGCCCCGGCAGGCATGGATGTGAACACACGTGACACCCGCCTCTGTTCTGTGCAGCCTGGATCCCCCGCACGCACCATGCTAGGGGACACGCAAGCCCGGGCGCCGAGCGTCATTCTGAACCCACTCGCACACTGCTGGGATGAAAGCTTGACTCATCCCGGGCCCTGCTGCGGAGAGGCTGAACCGAGCTGCGTGTGCGTATGGCACTGGGCGTGCGGGAGGCAAAGAGAGGGTCTCCAGGCCTGGAGGAGGTGGAGGGGGTGGGGAAGGCCCTATCCCAGCTGCCCCTCTGGAGATCTGATGGAAGTGCCAAGCTCACTGCACAGGGCTGGGGGAGCTGCACAGCCTGGGGGACCCTGGCTCAATGAGCAGGCTCTGAGTACAGGGTGTCCAGCACCCCTGGAGCAGGGGATCCCCTGGATTTCCCCCCACAGGCAATGGAGCAGGCAGCAAGCTTCCCCCAGACACAGCCCCACAGCCAGAGGGCACAGGGCTGGGAGTACAGCCCGCAGCCATCCCGCTCCCGGGGGCCCCACGGGATATGGCCACTCCTCGGGGAGGAGCTGGGCGGAGAGACCTGTTCATTACAGACTCCTGCCAGCTGGGCCCCGCAGGAAAGGCTTCCAGCCCCAGGATGTTCCCACCATGCAGGGGGCTGAAACCCAGCGTCTTCGACAGGGAGATCCCAGGGGCAGGGAGGGACCATCTGTGTGCTGCATTTGTGCAGCACCTGGCACGGCGTGACAGGGGTTCCTAGGTCCTGCCACCATACAGACAACATGGGCTCCCATGTAGACATACCCAGCTAGCTGTCATCTCTGAACTGCCACCATCGGAAGAATGATTGGATTTTCTGCTCCAAGATTTTGCTTCCAACAGGAACAGCTGCAAACTCCACCCCTTCAGCTCAGCCTTGGGACACACACCCCTCCCCAGTCGTTCCTTCCTGCAGGGGTAAGGGAATGGAATCCTGTCCATCCCTAGCTTTTTAACCTAGACAAGGAACAAAAGGAATCCTGCCTGTGGCCTTGGTCCATTACTAGATGGCAGTGGTAGAACTGTCAATAATAAGGCAGAAGAGGCAGGAGTTCTCAATAAATATTTCTGTTCTGTATTTGGGAAAACGATATAGTTCTATCACAAAGAAGATGAAACACTTTCCATTTCAACAGTGACTCAGGAGGATGCTAAACACCAGCTGCTAAAGTTACACATTTTAAGTTTAACATCAGCGGGTCCAGAGCATTTGCATCTAAGAGTTTTAAAAGAGCTGGCCGAGGAGCTCACCACACCATAAGTCTT